AGTATAAGCCGAGGCGGCTTTTTTCAGCCCAAAAAGTGGGCTGAAAAACTCGGCTTATACTTGAGTATATACGGTACTTATATTGCATCTAGTTTTGGTCGCCACAATATAAAAAAAGATGTCGAGACTCTAGAAAGAGTGCAGAGATAGAGCAACAAGGATGATTAGCGGACTGGAGGCTAAAACATTTGACGAACAGTTGCGGGAATTGGGTTATCTAGTGTAGTGAAAAGAAGGACCAGGGGAGACATGATAGCAGTGTTCCGATATCTCAGAGGCTGCCATAAAGAAGAGGGAGTCAAGCTATTCTCCAAAGCACCTGAGGGCAGGACAAGAAGCAATGGGTGGAAACTAATCAAAGAGAGAAGCAACTTAGAACTTAAGTGAAGTGAGAACAATTAATCAATGGAACAACTCGCCTCCAGAACTTGTGAGTGCTCCTTCACTGGAAGTTTTTTAAGAAGAGATTGGACAACCACTTGTCTGAAATGATATAGGGCAGCGATGGCGAATCTTTTTTGGCTCGCGTGCCATAAGTGGGGGGAGTGCAGGGGGGTCGTGTGCAGGCGTGCTGCACCCATAATGCAATGTGTGACCCCCCAGTGCGTATGCGTGCACTGTAGGTGCTCCCCCCATTTTTTACATGCTTTTTTCGCCCTCCCCAGGCTCCAGAGGCTTTATAGGAGCCTGGGGAGGGCGAAAACAGCCCCGCCCCCGCCCCCCTCCCCCCGGATGCTCTCCAGAGGCTTCAGGGACCTTCAGGAGGCTTCCCTGAACCCATCGGAGCAATCAAAATGACTCTCCGAGCAAACCGGAAGTGACTTCTAGTTTGCTCGGAGGATTGTTTTAAGCACACCGAAGGCTTCAGGGACTTTCAGGAGGCTTCCCTGAAGCCTCCGGAGCAGTCGAAACGACCCTCCGAGCAAACCGGAAGTCCATTCCTGAACTTCTGGTTTGCCCGTAGGGCCAGTTTTTTGTGCTCCTGAGGCTTAACGGAAGCTCATGAAGCCTCTGGAGGGCCTCCGGGGGGGGGGAGGGGAGGCTCTTTTCCCCCTCCCCAGGCTCCTATAAAGTCTCTGGAGCCTGGGGAGGGTGCAAAATGGCTTTAAAAAAGGGTGAACTCGTGTGCCCTGACAAATGGCTCCACGTGCCACCTGTGGCACATGTGCCATAGGTTTGCCATCACTGATATAGGGTTTCCTCTTCAGCGGAGTTG